ATTTTCTCTCTTTTTGATTGTTATGAGCATAATGTGACTTACTGAAACTAATGGCGTATCGACAGTATCGCTTCCCATCATTATTGCCATCAAGTCGCCATTCCAGCATTAATTTCACAGGATTTAGCAAGTACAGGCTATGCGGAAGGTTTTATGTTTAGAATTTAGAATTTAGAATTTAGAATTTAGTTCATTCGCCACGGGAATGGCAAGACAAAGGAACAGAACTTTCGTTCCAATTGACACCTAACCCCTTTTTTACCCATCCATCCCACCCTGGGGAGGACATCCATCACCCAGTAATCTCATGTGTGGGAAATTAACGTCTCCTACCCCAACCCTGCAGGAGACGGGACCTCCATTTATTCGTCCCTATCCTAGAAGACTAGAATATCTAACCATTTTTGATGTTATAGAAAGGTAGCAAATTCTTCTCAATTATTTTAAGACCTTGGGTGTTTGTCCGGCCGGGGCTTGAACCCTCGACCTCCCGCACAACAGTCCAGCGTACTATCCATTGGGCTAACTGGGCGGCGGTTAAAGCAAGGCTATTTCAAATTTGACGAGGAAGACGATCTATAAAGGTTGTGGTCGATGGGAGGAATTCCTTCTCCATCCCCGTTTCTTTATTAGTCTCCTTCAAAGAAGGACAGCAACTATCATTTCTAACCTTGCTACTTTGTCGGATACAATATAGAAGGAACTGAGGGAAGTGATCCACAGATTTAAATGCATTGTTACGGCACATATGCCTAACTTCCGTACAAATGCATTTGCTGAAACAGGCAAAGTGAACCATAGCATTGTTCTTTATGTTTTGTTTTTTCATTAGCCGTTGTATCATTAATTACAAATGGTTGCAGTGTTCAAACAATTCCACGCTTCTTGACTGAACTTTTTGCAAGCCAACACGTGCATCTTCAAGCTTATTATATTTTTAAGGGCAACGCCCACACAAATGATAGATAGGACGAAGGGTTTTTGCAGAGTTTCATGTCTGTCATGTTACAGCTAAACCTAAATCTTCTGTTCACGTGCACTTCTTCAAATCAAATTGAAGCGTTATTATGGCTTTCTTGGATTTACAGAGAAAGCTGTCTATTCATCTTAATTACAACAGGTGTTATCTTTAACCACCAACACGTGTACAGAACCGTTGGCAAGCTCATGCAGGTTAATAAATTCTTGACTTCAAACAAGCATGAGAGTTCATTTCTTCAGCCGTCTACAACTTGTCTACGGCATTTCCCCACAATGTGACCTTTTCTGGAATGTAAACAAGTTTCGCTGTATAAACAAAGAGTCTTTCTGTGTTCCCACCAGCACTTTCAGCTCTGGTACAGTGTCACGCACTCCTTTCAACACAGCTTTTAGCGATATATAGCGAGTATTAAATAAGAAATACTTATCAGTCATAGCAGCTACAGTGATCAATTGGACTATCATAGACCATTTCGACGCGCTATTCAAGGTGATACATACAGTCAGTTGAGTGCGGCGACAAAGATAGTATCATGCTAAGCGAGGTAGTATATATGATCGATGTATCATTAGTTGACTGTACTTAGAAAGTGTATGCATTGTCTGTAGCTAAGGCAATCGTTCTTCATTTCCAGTCACAAAGAGGAGTCCTCTTTTGTCCCAAACCAAATATCTTAATTTGGATTCAGATTAAATTACACCGAACACACGCAGAACCATGGTGCATTAGGCTCTCGTACACTTAATTAGTAGCGTGCCATCATTGAAATTTCAGTCTTGATTCAGCCAGTCAAAGAACAAAACTGTGGCCATAGCAACAGTGCAAAAGTTATCATCTTGTGTTTCTCTTGTACAATTCTGGTGCTAAATTTGAAGAAAACACTCCAGTATCCTACATAAAATTTTACTCTAATTTACCGTTTTAGTGGAACATTTTGGTATATTTGGCTCTATTATATAAATTAAACTTTGATAAAGAATCATGTTTGAGCAGAAACAAGATCGAGGACTTTTATTATTATTGATTTTTTCTTATTCAATACTTATTTATTATATCCATACGTAATAGACATACCCAGCCTTTTATGTCATTATTCATTGACAAGCTTCAGATGTATTTTAAAACTTAGTATTTTTAATATTGTAATTATACTTATTTATTATATCCATACGTAATAAACATACTTAGCCTTTTATGTAATTATTCATTGACAAGCTTTATATGTATTTTATAACTTAGTATGTTTAATATTGTAATTATACTTATTTATTATATCCATACGTAATAGTGT